TATAGGTGTTTAGGGCTATAAATGAACTGCTTTAGTGGCATCTCACAAATTTTGATACATTTTTTTCACTCAGTTTAAAATATTTTCTAAATTTCCTTTTAATTTCTTCTTTGATCCATGGTTTATTTAGAAGTCTATTTACATTTCAAATATTTGGGAATTTTTCCGTTAGCTTTCTGTTATATTGGAAACCCTGGTGGTGTAGTGGTTAAGTGCTATGGCTGCTAACCAAAAGGTTAGCAGTTCAAATCCACCAGGTGCTCCTTGGAAACTCTATGGGGCAGTTCTACTCTGTCCTATAGGGTCGCTATGAGTTGGAATCAACTTGATGGCAACGGGGTTTTTTTTTTTTCTTTCTGTTATTGATTTCTAATTTAATTTATTATGATCAGAGAACATACTTTTTCACTTGGATCCTTTTAAATTTATTGAGACTTGATTTATAGACCTGAATAGTCTATGTTGGTAAATGTTCCATGTGCACTTGAGAAGAATGTGCACTCTGCTGTTGTTGGATGGAGTGTTATATAAATGTTGATTATATCAAAGTGGGTGAAACGTTGCCCAGTCCTGCACCTCTCAATCTTTGGTATCTTTGAGCCCCCTGTTGCAGCCGCTGTGTCAATCCATCTCATGGAGGGCTTCCTTTGTTTTCACTGACCCTCTACTGGATGGTGAGACTTCATCTTGCTTCCTATGGACATGTCATCAGGAAAGATCAATCACTAGACACATACATTGGGCTACTTGAAATTATCTCACAGCTCACTGATATTCTGTTCATATTTTTGTTGATTCACTTTTCTCTGTGTGCTTCATTTTGAAGAGTTTGTATTACTATGTCTTCAAGTCCACTCATCTTTTCTTGTTTTGATGCCCTTGTCTGCTAATTCTAATATGTACGCTATACACCTGGGTTTCATTTTCCAGCTTGCTTGCAACTCTGTTAAGTTTTGACTGAATGTCAGATACTGTAAATTTTACATGGTTGGGTCCTGGATCAATTGGAACTCCTAAAACTATTTTTAAGCTTTATTCTGGATGTAGTTAAGTTGCTTGGAATCAGTTTTATCCTTTCAGGTCTTGCTTTTAAGGTTTGTTAGGCATGACCAGAGCTGTCTGGTCTAGGGCTGTTTTCTATCATTGAGTACTTCTGAGTATTCTACCCAATGCTACATAACTCAGGAGGTTTTTTAGTCTTGCTGGTGAGAAAGGCACTCTTCTTGGCCCTGTGTGAGCCTGAGTACTGCTCTCTCTAATCCTCCAGGTGGTTTATTTCCCTGGTCAGGGCAGTTTCCTCACACGCATGTGCTGAGCACCTGAGGGGGCCCTCTGCACGTCTCTGGAGTTCTCTCTTTGCAGTGCTCTCCTGATACTTGCCCTGCAAACTCTAGCTGCCTTGGCCTCTCTGGACTCCCTCTCCTCAAATCAAGGAGTACGCTGGACACTGCCTGGGATCCCCTTCTGGCCTGGAAACTTTCTCAAGACATTAGCCTGCGACAAACATAGGCTCACTTTGTTTATTTCCTGTCTCTCAGGAATCACTGTCCTTTGCTGCCTGATGTCCAGTGTTTTAGAAACCACTATTTCATATCTTTTGTCCATTCTCTGGTTGTTTCAGACAGAAGGGTAAAATCCGGTTTCTGTTATTTCATCTTGGCCAAAAATAGTGTTCCTCCATCCTTCACTTTTGTTCACTCTAGAAGTACTTATTGAACACCTATTATTATATGCCAGGTGCCTCTGGGCTATATGATGGCAATTCGAGTAATAAGCAAAGTGTATAGTCTAGTGTCTCAAGGTCCTTCTATTCTAATAGGAGATAAAGATAGGTTACTAGTCTTGATTCTTAGATGTTTCCTAGAACTTCATCTTTGGCCCTCTGCTTTTCTTGCTAATTCATTCCTAATAGTGTTTATCTATTCTCAAAAATTTAAGCAGCCCCTCTGTGTTGATGACTTTCAAATCTACATCTCCACTTCTGTCCTCTCCTCCCAAACCCTAGTGTTATATTCTCCCCCTGCTCCCTGTGAGCTGCATGAACCTGAAATGGGATTAACTAGGTTCTTCCCATCTCCCCCTACATCTAAACAGTCAAACAGTCCAGTGGACTCTATCATACAAGTAATTTCCAAATCCATTTTCTCTTCTTTATTCTGTGTAACTCAAACAAACTTTGAGTACCTATTACATTCTAGGGACCTCTATGCCTTCAGTCTTGATCCCTTTCAGTTTATCCTGTATAATGCAGCCTGAGTAATCTTTCCAAAAATCCTCTTAAAATCCTTTGATGACAGGTTATTGATTTTAGAATAAAACTGAAAGTCCTCACCATGGATTATGAAGCATTTGAGGACGCAGTCCCTGCCGATTGCAAATTTCAGCACTGTGACTCCCATTTATTCTCACCTTATGTTCCAAGCACACTTATACTTTCGCTCCCCAAATACACCACGTTTCCACCTCCAAGTCTCTGCATACACATAGCTCAGTTTGGTAGAATGTTGCTACCTTCCCACTCCCTGACCCCTTTAGCTCTTTGCAATTCGGTTCAGATACCTCCTCCTCCATATCCTTTCTGACTCTGCAGCCTGTTTCAGGAGTGTGTTTACTGGCACTTCTTTGCTTACATATGTTCAGAAACCCAACTCAATCTAACATACAGAAATGATAATTACTGTAAAGACACTGGGGTGTCTCGAGAATCCAAGCACAGGGATGGAGGTGAGCCTTAAGAACGAGAAGTGGAGCTGAAATGGTACCAGATCTGCTCTCCACATGGTCTCCTCTCCGCGTGTCCTGTTTCCTCTTTGCTCTGCCTCTTCTCCTCGCATCTCATCTCCTCTCCACACATACTGTCTACTCTCTTCTCTGTGTCTGCTTCATTCCTCTCCTTCTCTCTGAAGATTATCTTCTTTCACTATTCCAGTCCACATGATGGAAAAGTTGTCACTGTCAGCTCCTCAGCTTTGTATCTTATAGAGTCCAGAAACCTGAAGAGAGACTCACGTGTCTTTCTCAAGTTCAGGACCCTGACTGGCCCAGTTGCCCACCGAGTCACTCAGTCAGAGCCAGGAGGTAAGGCTGTGCTTGCCATGGTCGCTCCTGCCGCAACCATGTGGTCGGAAAGGGGTGGGGTGCAGAAGTGGCAATCACTCTTCCTGAGGTTTGGAGAAGATAATCCCACAGGTGGCCACCTGCACAAAGCCCCGGGATGACTTAGATCAGAACATTGCCTGTCTATCTTCTAAAAGTTCTTTCAGGGTGAGAACTGTGCCTTTCATCTGTTGTATTCTTTAGTTCCTGGTAGGAGGGACTGATCAATAAATGATGGTTGGATGACTAGATAAAATAAAAGTACATAATGACCAAATGGAGCCCTGGTGGCACAGTGGTTAAGAGCTTGGCTGCTAACCAAAAGGTCGGCAGTTCGAATCCACCAGCTGCTCCTTAGAAACACCATGGAGCAGTTCTACTCTGTTCAACAGGGTCGCTAGGAGTCGTAATCGACTCAACAGCAATGGGTACCTACCTCTAGAAGTTGTTGTGAACTTCAAATGGGATATCAGTAAAAGCACTTTGAGAAAATAAATATTTCTACACAAATATAAGGCAGAATTATTATTACAGTAATCACGCATGTGCAAATAAGGAATTTAAAAAATAGCATACAATACTGATTACTGGGAGTTAAAAACGACAGTAGAAAATGATAGGAAAAAATGACAGCAAATGCCAGTATAACTCAAAATAAGGTGAAGATGTTCAAATACCAAAAGCCTTCAAAGATATGAATCATGAAATACAAAATAAAAAAAAAAAAAAACACTCCTATGCTTTTGCCAAGGGAAAAAGAGATTTTTATTTGTTATAATTTATGGTTAAAGTGTAACATGAAGTAAAATGTATATACTGAGAGAATCCACCTTTATTTTTAGGATTTCATTTTTTTCTAATTTACTGGGTAAGTTAGAGTATTCCTGCCTTATGGAGATATTACTTTAGATATGATTAAAAACCTTATGATTAATGTATTTTAAAATGGATATGAGAAGTAGTCTATATCAAAGAATTATTCAACACATGAAAGTTGCTAAGGATCAAATGAGAGAATATCTGTAAAAATACATTCTAAATGGTAATGTGGTGATGGAACTACTGGACAGAGATCAGTAAAGGCCCAGAGGCTTCACAACAGATGGGAAGTAGAGCTTGGAGAGTCTTAAAAGATGGGCTGATAGGGAATTTCTTGATTGGATAAAAATCATTAGAAAATTAAAAAGACCAACGGAATCGTACTAGTTAGATTTAAAAAAATTTTTATTTTATTGGTGCAACTCTACATTGCAAGGTGAGGGAAGACAAGAAGGATTCTAAATATAATTCCTGCTATGTTCCCCAAGAATGTTCACAAGTTTTTGTGAAAATACACCTTACTGTATTTTTAGTGTTCTCTCTCATAAAGTTGAAAAGGTTTAGGCTTTTTTGCTAAAGAAAATAGGCTAGAATGGTGTTTCCTGTAAAGGCTTTGGATGCAGAGCTGGCTAGAATTTAGGGGTTGAGTCTTAAACATAAAAAAAGTTTTAGGATGAGTCACAAAACCTAAGCAACAGCCCATGCTTATGAAATGCCTATGTTAACTTATTTTTTAGGTTATCTTTTTTATTATTATTTAAAACGCATAATCAGCTGGAAATAAGTGATAGTGCTCTCTCAGTAAGCACACCAATAGGAAGCTTGTGTATCTGAATCCCAAGCTCACATCTGAAGGCTGCCCACCCTAACTGAAGGTCACAGACGTGTACCTGGCAAACCCATTCCAATGGAGCGACAGAAAGATTCTAGGACAAGGGTCAAGAGATCTCCAGCTCATGCTAAAAATTAGCTGCATAATGCTTGAGACCCACTTAAAACATTAGCCTAAATTTGCTGTTATTTACATATAACTAAAATATTACTTAAAATTGATCAATGTTCACTTTTCCCCCCTTTTGACTCACCTGTAAGATTCTTTGCAAGATTGACGGAAGACCAATAAAAGCAGCCATGCTGTTTAGAACCTGCATGGTCATAGACTTCAGAGCTGTGATAATAAAAGGGCAATACTAAGGTCAGTTTAAAATGAGACTTTTCAGCTCTTCCTATAAGTCAGTGGAAAAGAGCAGATTTACATAGCCTCTTAGAAACTATGTTAAACAAGGCCAGTTTGATATTTTTAAAACTAAGTGTTGATAAAGTCGTAAAGACCACTGTTCTTCACAGAAGGAATTAAACCTGAAAAGATAAGACTAACGAATACGGGCTCATTAAGAGAAATAATAAGAATACGCTACTGGGGAAAGGTAGCATAATGATCATTTTTAGCAGATAAAAATCGGGTGTATGGTATAGATGGGCTTCAGTTCTGATGAACTTACCTTCGGAGTATGGATGAGGTGCAGCTGAGCTGGACAGCTTCTGAGGGGCCATCATTGCCTCCAACAGGGGAAACCAGAGTGCCTACGGTCAGAGGAAGCCAAAGAAAAACCAAAGCGCTACATTATTTTTAACAACAACTAACATCAGCATGGAGGAGTCTCTGGGTGGTACAAACGGTGAACGCACTCGGCTGCTAACTGGAAGGCTGGCAGTTTGAGTCTGCCCAGAGGCACCTTGGAAGAAAGGCCTGGTGATCGACTTTCAAAAAACGGTCACTGAAAACCCTACAGAACACAGTTCTACTCTGACACACACAGGGTCACCGTGAGTCGGAACTGACTCGACTGCAACTGTTTTCATATCAGCATAGTGTTTTTCAGGTTGAAATGTACTTCTCATATACATTTGTTGGAAAAATTAGACAAAGAGGGAACATTTGATTGGAGAGAGAAAAGACACACACACACATGCAGAGACCATGTCAAAAATAGATAATTTTTAGAATGCAGCCGTGGGAAACATAAGGAAGGTGAAGTTAAGTAAGTCTAGGCTTCGGAACTGCAATCTTACACGTCTTAGACAAGGGTAGGTTCCAAGGAGGCAAGACAGAGCTTCCTGTTAGGTCCTTATATACTCTGGTATAAATGCGTCATTGATAAAGTCTATATAACCTTATGTACCGTAGGAAGGAATGGAGAACCCTCCTCCAGAGCACCCTTCCCCCAAATTTGTCTTCAGCTATATCAAGCATGGTGAGTGAATAAAGGTTATCCAAAGTTTTTTTTTTCCTATATCAAACATTATTTTATACTTCCTAAGTCATCACAGACCAGAAGAGGAAGTTAACATTATGTCAGTTAACACCTCCAACCATGCCATAAGATAAAGGAATAGATCTATTATTTATTTCTATTACGTGTCAGGAACCCTGGTGGCTCAGTGGTTAAAGTGATTGACTGATAACCGAAAAGTTGGCAGTTCAAAACCATCAGCGGCTCTGTGGGAGAAAGATGTGGCAGTCTGCTTCCATAGAGATTTACAGCCTTAGAAATCCTATGGGGTCACTAAGAGTTGGAACTGACTCGAAGGTAGTGGAGTTTTTTTTTTTCTTTTTGGTTTCTGATGTGTCAGGAATTACATTAAACGCTTTCCATATATTTTCTCATCTGATCTCATAATAAGTGTTTACAGTAGGTGTTATCTTCACTTGAGATAAGGAAGTGAGGTTGAGAGAAGTGAAGTAATTGACCAAAGGGCACGCTGTCAGTAAACAGGCTGCCTGACTCCGAATGCTGTGCTCTCCTAAGCCTAAGGAAAAATCCTTATTATCAAAAACAAAAGGAACACATCAGAACATTTCAAACATGTTTTCTCGTTGGGTAATGGTTTACATTTGCATTGGGCAAATCTGCTGCAAAAGACCTCTTATAAGGTGTTGAAAAGCAAAGATGTCACTTTAAGGACTCAGGTGCACCTGACCCAAGCCATGGTGTTTTCAATTGCCTCACATGCATGTGAAAGCTGGACAGTGAATAAGGAAGATCAAAAAAGTGATGTCGTTGAATTAAACGGTGTTGGTGAAAAATACTGAAGACACCATGGATGGCTAGAAGAACGAACAAATCTGTCTTGGAAGAAGTACAGCCAGAATGTTCAACAGAATCAAGGATGGTGAGACTTTGTCTCACATACTTTGGACATGTTATCAAGAGGGACCCCAGTCCCCGGAGAAGGACATCATGCTTGGTAAAGTAGAGGGTCATCAAAAAAGAGGAAGACCCTCAACGAGACAGACTGACACAGAGGCTGCAACAATGGGCTCAAGCATAACAATGATTATGAGGATGGTGCAGGACTGGGCAGTGTTTCGTTCTGTTGTACACGGGGTCGCTATGAGTCGGAACCTACTCAATGGCACCTAACAACAAGGGCTTTACAAAGGCTCTAACCTAGTATCTTAAAAAAACACAAAAACAAACCAAACCTGTTGCTGTCCAGTCGATTCCAACTCATAGCAACACTACAGGACAGAGTAGAACTGCCCCATAGGGTTTCCAAGGAGCAGCTGGTGGATTCCAACGGCCGACCCCCTGGTTAGCAGTTGAATGCTTAACCACTGCACCACCATGGCTCCGACCTAGTATCTTAGGAGGAACCTATTGCTGTGAACACCCAGGAAGTATGACGAACGGATGTCCTTGACGGAGCAGGACAAGCATGCTATTTACAGAAGCGGACATGTTCCTAACTTTACCACCAGGGACTGTACAACTCCCCTGGCAAGGGAGATCTGGGAGCGGTTTAAGGCGAAGTGGGCAGGCTACGGACCTAGCAGACTTCCCCACTGGGAGACCTGCCACTGAAGAGCCCTACTTCTTGTTGTTAGCTGCACTGAGTTGATTCTGACTCATGGTGACTCCATGTGTGCAAAGCATAACTTCTCCATAGGGTTTTCAAGGCTGTGATCTTTCAGAAGCAGATCACCAGGCTTGTCTTCCAAGGTGCCTCTGGGTGGGTTCGAACTACCGATCTTTTGAGCACTTAATCGTTTGTGCCACCCAGGGAGAGCTACTAGGGGGCCCTTATCTGCTCTCATTTGAGGTTTCTCGAGGCCAGGATTTTAACCTGCCGTCTTTTTATGCATCTGTTCAAGTTCTTAAGATACTAGTTTTAACTACGTTATCTACTGGCTATTCTTTGTTGATTTGTTTTATCCAAGACTCAGGAACTTTTAATCTTCTTTTTTATTCTTAGTGTCTCTTAATTTACCTTTTAGTCACCTATTTTAACTTGTTTTTATAATCTTATCATTTATTTCTGGGTATTTTATGGTTCTTTAATTGTATATGCCATACCTAATTTTTACCTTTTAGTTTTTATAATGAACTTGATAATGAACTGTTTGTATTATACTTACAAATGTTTCATCAGAAGATTTAATATCTTCGAGTATTTTCTTAAAGGAACTGTGGAAATCATGGATACAGAACTCAAGTGTTATAAACCTTACTGATGTAAAACAATAATATAACTGATTAAAATTAGGAGGGATGGAAAGGGGAGTTTGTTGCAGGTCTGAGTTCATGTAAACTTCCTTACTGGCATGGTGTCATGGACATAAAAACTGACATGTAATTGTGAACATATTAAACATAGTAATTCCAAGCTATTACACTTATTCAGATTTTTTTTTTAACTTTAGAAAGACTTACTAAGAGATGCTAAGGTGAAGAAACATTTATCTTGAAATTTAGAAACTCCTCAATTTTATGTAAGATTCCTGAATGATATTTTATACTATATTTATTTTTAGAAGCAAATACTATTTGATCCAATTTTTCTAAAATTATATCAACCTAGACAGATAAAAAATAGCTAGAGTGATGGTCACTAAATGATGCTGGTTATTTCCGGGTGGTAGTGTGGATGGATATACCCAAAACCCAGAACGCACTGCCGTCGAGTTGATTCCGACTCTCAGTGACCCTATAGGACAGAAGAGAACTCTCCCATGGGGTTCCAAGGAACAGTTGGTGAATTCAAACTGCCGACCTTTTGGTTAGCAGCCAAGCTCTTAACCACTGTACCACCGCTCTGGAGTGGATACAGGGTAATTAAAAAACAAAAACAAAACTTTGTGTAAATTTCTGTATTGCATAATTTTTTAAAAACATTGAGTACGGATCATTTCACCAAAAAATAGGTTTTTTAAATAAAGAAAAGTAATCACATCCATATTTACATGTGCTTGTTATACACAAGTTATATTCTAAAGGATTTTACTAATTTACGACCTTGGAAACACCTTGACAAACACTTAAATCTGAAAAGTATACAAAGGTGGAAATTCACCCATCTCCTAAGAACGGGAAAGTCAGCGGGATTTAATATTTTGATTATAACATGCATGGCTGTATGTGTGAAAAGTTAACACTGCTCTGCGCTTCAGAAACCAGGCAGGAGGAAGAGGCCAGGTGTGGAGTTAGAGGCCTGAGCCCTGGAAGCGCAGGCACAGGGCAGTTAGGCTGTACCATGCCACCACTTCACTTCTTAAAACGGCTGTAGAATAGAGTTCAGGTCCTATATCGCCCCCTCAGCTTCTGTGTCAGTGCTATAACGCCCACCTGTACCAGGTGTGAACCTATACCACCTTTCTGCAGTCTGGGGTCGGCTACAGCAGTGGTTCCCAACCTGGGCTGCACACTGGAATCGAGGCAGGCTTTAAAAGATACCGATGACTGGGTCCCAACTCCAGAGATTTTAGTTTAATTGGTCTGGGGTGCAGCCTGCGCACTGGGGGTTTTCAATGCTCCCAGGTGACTGTCATGAGCAGCCAAGGTTGGGCGCTCCCCACGACAGCCTCCGCTGACCTTTTCCAGCTTCCTCTGCATCCCTCGAGGGCTTCCCCCAGTTCCTCCTGCTCACTTTCCTCCACAGGGAAAGAAGAGATAATAAACGACTACATATCCATAGTACCACTACACGGAACACACAAACCTCTGTCCAAAGAGAACAAGGACATCTACTGTGCACATACTTTAAGGTTTGCAGCCCAGCCAAACCTAAGAATATAAAGCCTTCTGTGAGAACAAAGAGGCCAGGCACTGCGCAGAATACCTTTCAGCAGCCTTGTACTCCTGGGAGCACTTAACAGTGATTAAAATCCAGTTGAATTAACTCAGGTGGCTGAGAGGGCAGTGGAAATAGAATTAATTCCTAGTTTCAGACCAGAAGAGGCTTTCACATGCCTCAGTGGTCACGCTCCTACCTCTCGTTGCTGCTGGTTCAAATTCTGTGAATTTCTCTGGCAAAGGGCTATTGTCTCCACCAGGGTGTCTTCAACATCCTTCAGTGAGGGATCCTTTTTTGTATCTAGATTCGGAAAAAGTGTAAACGTCTCTTAAGAATGAATTACTGATTAATCTCAGAGCTTCTGTGAAAAATTAAACAGTTTTTCTTCTTTGGAAAGCTTTAATTCTTTATTATAAAATCATCTGTACAACCTGATACTGCCAAAATTGTACTGATTAAAAAACATGATTCTACGCAATAGGAGTTTTCCATATAAACCTTTGATATTCACAGTACACATAAAGCATACCATACTCAACATTTTAATATGCTTTTAACCAAAAAAAAAAAAAAAAAAACCTGTTGCCGTCGAGTCCATTCTGACTCAGCGACCCTATAGGACAGAGTAGAACTGTCCCATAGGGTTTCCAAGGAGCGGCTGGTGGATTGGAACTGCAGATCTTTTGGTTAGCAGCCAAGCTCTTAACCACTGTGTCACCAGGGCTCCTTATGGGAAATCACCAGTTCTCTGCCTGTGTGGATTAGCTGGAAGAGAGACTATCCTTCACCTTTCTTGCCCTAGCAGCTCTTCTACCAATTTCTGGAATACAGGTATTTCCCCAAGGTACTATCTTAGGTGCTTTTTTCATTTTTCAATGATCTCAGCCACTTTCGTGGTTTCAATTCTCATGTCCTTGCTAACAGCTTTAGCATATACACCTTCGGCCCTTATTCCTTTCATAATCTGCAGGCTGAATTTCCTACTGCCTCTAGGACATCTATCTACACATGGGTGTTCTGCAAACACCTTGAACTCTATATGTGCAAAACTCAAGTGATGTTTCTCCTCATTTCAAGCCTGCTCCACCCCTCCACATGTTCAACTAAGTTAATGGAGCCATCATCTCAAAGTCAACCAGTTTATAAAGCTTCATCTCTGACGCTTCCCTCTCCTTCACCCTACACGGTCAAATAAATGGCCAAATGTTGTTAATTCCACTTTCAGTCTCTTGTATGCCCACAACTTCACCAGGGTGGAGCACTTCTCTGTACTACTCCAACAGCCTCTTAATTAAACTGGGCCTCTGAATTTTGCCTCTCTCACTAGAATTTTTTGCCACTATTGTTTTCTTAAACACAAGTCCCAAGAGATCATTTCTCTCCACAAAAACCACCAAAGACTTCCAATTTTTAAAAACAGAAAGTAAGCAAACCTCTGATCCTAAGTAAACGTTCTGGCTCATCTGCTCACCCTCTGGTCCATGTCTCCATACGATTCTTCCTTCCTGAGGTCACTGGCCAGTCACTTTCCTGTCTGCCTCTTCCCTCAGCTTAGAAGCCCTTTTCTCCACTTCTGCCCCTCAGACTCCTACTCATCTTTCCAGTTTACTTCAAAGGCATGTCTTCCGCAAAGCCAGCTCTGATTTGTTGGTGACAAATCATTTCCGATTTCCCACCCTCCTTTGGCACACTCACCGCAGCTCTTGTATAACACTGCATTGTTTCTATCTCCCTCTCCTTCACTAGAGTGGACTTCTTTGGTGGGGGCTATGTCTTTGTTATTCCTCTGTATAACCCACAGGAATTAACACAGTGCCCTGTAATCAACAGATCTTCGAAAAACTAAGCATACTGTCAAAATTGAATCTGAAAGTAGAGGGCAGACATGAGGCTCTTAGTGGGAAATTGATCTTCATTGGAATTCAAAGGACTGGCTTCGCTAGATGGATCACCTGTAAATCACTGTACTGATTTTGGAGAAATGGTCTTCTTACTTTCCCTCAATCCATGCATTGTTTGCAAAAATTATTCCCATAACACTAAGTTTAAAAATAAAAATATAGTAAATGCAACAAGTCTAACATAATTAAATTGATTCAACATATACTGACAGGACAAAAATAACAATTAACTGTCTAGTTGGACTACCAATACGGAAAAGTCAATCAAGTGTTTAGGGATTCCAAAACTATTTCGTGTAAACCAGATGCTCAAGATACAACAGAGACCCCATTGTCTAGGAACCAATTATCAAAAACTACAGACAAACAAGTACTCTGCAGAGAATTACGGGACAGGTGTATCAGGAGAACAGGTGGACCGAGAGGCCCAACAACTGTGTCCATATCTTAAAGAGCTAAGATAATCTAAAAATCACCTACGGAGTTATTCCTTGACCTCCAGCCTATTTTGAAAATGTCAAGGAATATGATTAAAACTATATATCTATGTGTAACAAAGCCATTGAAGATTATAAAATGTTGAATTTTACTGCTCTGGGCTAGAGGTGTATATATTCAGTCCAGAAACACTGGCTTACTTACTAATTAGAGGTTCTGTTTTGCTGCTGCTCAGAATCTTACAGTAATTTCTTAGAATGTTAGTTACGTACCTTACTTATACATAACCAAAACATAAGTTCAAAATTATAACCAAAAAAAAAAAATTGATAGCAGTAAACACTAATTTTCTGTACATTTAACATCACTGACAATTACCATTGCAACGCCACCATGGTTCATGGGATTTCCTATTATGAACCCTTGAAAACTACCTAAAATTGGATCAATGGTGAAGTGGATAAAGCGTAATGATGCAGACAGATTAATGTAATCATCACGTAAATAATGCAGGTTCGGAACACAGGGTCCATGGGAGAAAAAATAATTTTAATTTTACACTCAAACACTTACTTTCATCTTCATGTGTTATCCCCTGAAGCTTGCTCTGTAGTCTCTGGAAGTAAACAGAACACAGGAGGTGAAAGGAACGTTTTATATTTCTAATCCACCAAATATGCAAACTGATATATTTTAAAGGAAAGCCTCCAAGAAACAACAAAGTTATTAAAGTCGGTCCCTTGCTGTCATTCAGAAGAGAACCCTTGTGTGTACAGAAAGCATGGCTAGCTCACAGTATTGGAAGGGACCTCAAGTATCAAGTATCCTTTATTCTGCCCCACCTCTGCTTTTGTTATACCACCACAGAGTCATCACTGATATTCTTTCGGCCCAGTAATGAGAATTTACCCGTGTTTCGTCTAAGAGAGTAAAATTCATGCTGAGCTATAACAGGGAAGAAAAAGGACATGGTAAGCCCATTCCCCTAATGTAATCACCACCTTTACACTGATGATTCCCAAGTACGCACGTGTGGTGTCCATGATCTACTGAATCCTAGAACCTCAGATACCCTTAACCGATGTTCCAAAGGCTTCTTAATATACATTGAAGCTGCCCTTAACATATCCACTCTACCCTAAATTGTTCCTTTTCTTGGGGTCCCTATCTAGGCTAATGTTAAGTTAAACATCATGGAATCATCACTAACTGCTCCCTCTCACTCACCCCATACTACATTCAAACAATCAGTAAGTTCTCAAATCCATCCGCTCTCCTCTCCTCATTACCCCCGCCACACCCAGTCCAGCCCTCCCAGCTCACACAGCACTACTGAAGCTGCCTCCCAGGAGTCCTCTGCTTCCTTCCAGTCTGACCTCTCTCTTCCTCCTGTGCCAGCAGATCCTACCACAGTCATCACAGCAACTTCTCCTAGACAATGATACGCCTGATAAAAAGTATCCAGGAGTAAAATGTACTAATGTCTGCAACTTATTGTGAAACATAAACAATTAAGAGAGATTGATGAATGGATAGAGGCATACACAAAAACACCAGGAAGCAAATACAGCGAAATGTCACCTCTAGCGTTATTAAGAAGGCACCATGAATGTCTCCTTTTTTCTCCAACAGGTAAGCAGTGACTTCATGAAGTTGATACTTTTGGGTAATCTAGGAAAGAAGAGAAATATTTTTGTTCACAAATCTTGTTTCCAGCGTGAGAAGACTCTATTAAGAATGAGAAAAAAAAAAAGCACAGGGTACATAATGAATTCATACCTTAGTAGTACAATACTTTACATTTGCATATTACATATGCAAATATTTGACTTTCCAGTCTTATAGGGCCCCCTTGACAATTCTAATTGGACTAAGTTCATTCATTTTTTTCACTTACTTATTCAAAAATTGTTATGCACCTGAATGAGATGGAGTCACTGGAGAAAACGTAACACATGTACGTAAATAGTAATAATATAAACTAGCAATTGATAAGTGTTACACGAGACACATAGCCAGAACAATGGGAATTTAAGGCGACAGTGGAGAGACACACCAGCAGCAGCATTTGACCTAGTCCTTGGGTAATGGCCAACACTGGGAAATGTTTTTAAGCAGCAGCATTCAAAGTCTGGGCAGGGCATGGACAAAGACAGAGGAGGGCAAACACGGGTAGCGTGTAAGGAATGAGGAGTGTTTAGCTGGCTGCTATGGACAGTGTGAAAGAGAATGACTGCGAAATACAGTTGAAAATTATAGAGCAAGATTCATAGAAGCCTTAAATTGTCAGCTCACGAAGCTTGGGCTTCATGCTCTAGGAAAAGAGAGAAGTGATGTGACCAGAGATCTCTCCCAGTAAGAGAAGTCTAAGAAAGGTGGAGTAGAGAGGGGAGAGACTGGAATTAGGGAAATCTCTGAGAATAATTTCCTTTAGTAACAGTAAAAGGGTAATAGGAGCCAAAATAAGGAGCGTAGAACGCACGTGTTATTTGTGTAAAAATATGGTATGTCCTGGAAATATGGGCCTAGAGCTAAGGAGAGAGGTCAGGTCTAGAACAGAGCTATCCAGAAGAAATATAATGTGAGCCACATATCTAATTAAAAATTCTGTAGTGGCCACATTTGAAAAAAGTAAAAAGAAACAGGTAAAATAAATTTTAGTGTATTTTATTTAATCCAATATATCTAAAATATCATCTGAACATATAATCAATATTAAAAAGTTACAGGGATAATTTATATTCCTTTCACACTAAGCCTTTGAAATCCAGTGTGTATTTTACACTTACAGCACATCTCAATTTGCATGAACCACATTTTAAGTGCTGAATGGCCACATGTGGCAGTGGACCCTGGACTGGACAGTACAAACACCCGCTGTCATTGAATTGATTCCAACTCATTGCAACCCTAGAGGACAAAGCAGAACTGCCCCACAGGGTTTCTAAGGAGTGGCAGGTGGATTCGAACTGCTGACCTTTTGGTTAGCAGCCGAGTTCTTAGCCACTGCGCCACCAGGGCTCCTTGGCCAGCACAGGTCTAGAATATAAAGTTGGAAGCCACTGATGGAGAGCATCTGCGGCCATGAGACTATGTGAGCTTTCAAAGCATAGAGAGAACAGACCAAGAACAGACCGTCAGTAAACACCCACATTTATGAAGTGAAAGAATAAAAAAACCTGGGGAATTTACTATGGGCACAGAATTAAGGGAACTGGGGACACTGGAGCTTTGGGGAAACTATGGGGTGGAGAGGCAGTGAGTGGAGTTTAAAAGAAGAGATAGTGAACAGCATTAAATGCTGTGCAGAGGTCAAGGAAGCTGAAGGCTTTCACGTGGGCGACCCGGGTTGGACCCTTGACCAGTGCACCTCATGCGCAGCCACCACCTGTCTGTCAGAGGAGGCTGCATGATGCTATAATGCTGAACGGGCTTCAGCTGAGCTTCCAGACTAAGATGAACTAGGAAGAAAGGCCTGGTGATCTACTTCTGAAAAATCAGCCATTGAAAACCCTAAGAAGGACAGTTCTACTCTGACCCACATGGGTCACCATGAGCCAAAGTTGACTCAACAATAATGGTCTTCTTGTTTGTTTTGTTTTACTGTAAAGCTATATTAATTACAGCATATGATACTGGTATAGGTATAAACAGATAATGAAAGAACAGAGAACCTACAAACAGACTCATGTATGTTTGTGAGTTTGGCATATAACAGGATGGCATTAAAAATTAGTGAAAAAAGGATAATAAATGCCACAGGGACACTAAGTCATCCACATGGGAAAAATATATAAATCCCTCTATTAATCCATCTGCAAAAATAAATTCCAGACAAATAAAATGCCTAAATGTAAGAAGCTAAACTATAAAACTTGTATAAGAGAGTACCCTTTATGCCCTCAAAATAGGAATGGAAAGAAGACACAGACAAAATTAAACCTTAAAGGAAAAGACTGATAAAGTGAAAACTTCTCTATAATAGAAGTCACTGAAAACCAAGATGAAAAACTTGCCACAACAGATTGGAAGAAGGTACCTCAGCAATACATACAATCAGCAAAGGATTAGGGATTCAGAAACCATAAAAAAACCAGTAAGAGAAAGACAAAAACTCCACAGAAAAATGAGCTAAGGCCATGGATAGATAATTCAGAGAAAAAGAAAACCCAAATGGCCATTAAACATACGGAAAGATGTTCAATGTCATTAGTAATCAGTGATATCCACCACCCTGGCAAAAATTAAGTCTAAAAATACCAGGAATTAGCAAGGACGTGGAAAGGCAGCAAATCGCAAACACTGCTGAAGAGAACAGACGCACGCTGGAAACCAACTTGGCAATACCAAGTAGGATTAAGCTACTCTATTGTCTAAATGGAACCCTGGTGGCACAGTGGTTAAGAGCTACGGCTGCTAACCAAAAAGCTGGCAGTTCAAATCCACCAACCAAACTGCACCCTATGGGGGCAGTCCCACTCTGTACTGTAGGGTCGCTGTGAGTCAGAACTGACTCGACAGCAACGGGTTTACTGTCTAAACAGAGTCTCTGGACCGTGCAGATAGTTAATGCGCTTGGCTGCTAATTGAAAGGCTGGACACTCAAGTCCACCCAGAGGTAACTTAGAAGAAAAGCCTGGTAACCTACTTACAAAAAATCAGCCACTGAAAACCCTACGGATCACAGTTCTACTCTGACACACGGGGGTCGCCATGAGTCGGAGTCCACTCAATGGCAACTGGTTTTTATTGTCTAAACAATTGCACTTCCAGGTATGTTACTTAGAGAAACCTCACACGGGGTACACAAGAAGACACGTACAAGGATGTGCACTGTTCGTAACAGCCAAAGACTGCAAACAATCTAAATGTCTATCAACAACGGAACAAGCAACTTGTGTTATATTCATTCATTAGACTATTACTATGATCATTAAAATGAACGAACTAGGTCTACACGTAAAAATACACATAAACTTCAAAAACAATATTTTGTGAAAAAAGCAATGTGCAACAGGATATGTACTGTATGATAATATTTATACACAATTTGAAAACATAAGATCATTTTATATTTTTACAGGAATAGCCCGTATGTAGGAAAAACAATAAACAACATGGATGGGAAGGATAAACACCAGCTTCACACGGTTACGCCAAGGGAGAGAGGGAAACGTGACAGGGAAACGGGGATTTATTTCAAAAACGAAAACAAGGAGAAGAAAACGAAGCTAGGAAGCCTAAAAAATTGGGTTTGTAGGTACATATGCACGTGATATTCTGTACATTTCTATACATTTGAAATACTTCATAACTAAAAATTTTAAAAGTGTATGAGCAGCTCAGGAGGTAGAAACAGAAAATACAGGTTACCATTGCAAGAATGTTGACAGTAAAGGAAAAGTGACTCAGAGAAACCGTGAGAGCCGGAATTCGACAGGACGGCCTCGTTTTTCCAGGTCTTGCAAGTTTTCCGCCTCTGATGGGGTGCAGTCTCCCCACTTTTCTATCGCTCTCTATTAGTGGAAAATATTTGAGTTTTCCTTCTCTGGCAGGTTTCTGCCTTACACAGGTTTCACTGTAATAATGGTAGCTTAAAAACGAATTTTCAGTGGGGAGCATGCTAGACTCTTACAGTAGAGTCTACCATTTTTATTTGGAAGGAGGGAACAAGTGAAGAGAATCAAGGCAAGGGCTGTTCTGGCTACTGTATCGCTACTATCACGTCTCACAGCACAGCAGGACTATCTAACCATCAGTGTCAGCAAGCAAGAGCCTGATCATTTCCTTTTAATATTTTTACCACACTTCTTTTTCTAGGCTTAGTGTGTTGGCTAGAATTTCTATTGATAGCAACAATGGACATGTATTGTTCTGACTGTAACAGAATAAATGTGGACGCAGTTCACCACAGCAGTTAAGAGAATGTCAAGGAGCCCTGGGGTGCAGTGGTTGAAGTGCTCAGCTGCTAACCAAAAGGTCAGTGGTTCGAATCCACCAGCTGCTCCGCAGGACGAAGAGATGGCAGTTAGCTTCTGTACAGATTTACAGCCTTGGACACCCTATGGGGCTGTTGTGCTCTGTCCTGTAGGGCCGCTGAGAGTTGAAATTGACTCCACGGCAATGGGTTTGGTTTTGGGGTACTATGAAGTCAGACTATCTGGGTTCAAATGCAGGCACTACCAGTTGCTAACTATAAACTTAGGCAAGTCACCGAATATGCGAGTCTCACCCTTCTCATCTGTAAAATGGGGAATGTTTAGGCACGGTTCACTCTCACCTTCTCCAGACTGCTGGTCTTACCTGAATGGTTTCCTGGAGGCGGTAGCTTTCAAGGACTTGCAGAGTCTCGATGACCTGCGTTGGGCGGAACTGACACAACAGCTCAATGAACTGCTCTGTGATACAGGGAGATATCGGCAGTAATTCCTGATTTATATGAATACCTTCCCTGAAAATGTAAAAGGCAGAAGAGTGCCAATTGGTGGTTTTATTTAATCACACGTACAATTAAAAGTGTATTATGTTAAAAGTAACTCTATTTCGAGACTACCTTCTCTTCAGGCAACAATATGAACTAAAAATCTGAAGGTTACTTAAGATGGTTAGGGTGAATTGTCTATCACTTCAAAGCCATTCCAAATCACAGTATTTCCCAGTTTATACTGAATAATTAAGGAGATGATATTCAGCTGAGGCCCCTCTGAATCACACAAAAGTTACAGTGTCACTCTAAAGGGAACAAGGAGACACAATTCAGTCTAAACGATTCGACCCACGGAGTAATCGTATATAACGAACCATCTTGCCCCCTCACATCTGCTCCTCCTATACATCCCCCACAGCACCTATCACACCGTGTAGAGATTACTTCGTTAATTCTCTATCTTCTCTAAAAGACTATAAACTCTGTGAAGGCAGCTCACTTCTCACTCTCTCCTCACAACGGATTCTCAAAGCCCACCACAGTGACCTGTGTGTACTAAGAGGCCATTTTATGGTTATTAAGACAAATACAAAAGTGGACAGACAGTAAGATACACAATGCTTATGGGTTCATTTGCTTTGTACGCTAGCTACTCACTAGGCCCACTGTTCATAATGCTACACAGAAGTTTTGGAAGTGGAGTATTAGTTTCATCTTGCTGGGCATTTAACGACTGGTGGCCAAAGGGCATTGTTTTAGGATACATCTGCTGCTCATTGGAGGCCTAAGAATGAACTTCTCTTTAGCTTAAAAAAGAGGTAGGTTCCTAATGAGAGTATTTTCAGTCACTGCATATGCATGTGAAAGCTGGGCAATGAATAAGGGAGACCGAAGAAGAATTGATGCCTTTGAATTACGGAGTTGGCGAAGAATATTGAATATATCACGGACTGACAGAAGAACAAACAAATCTGTATTGGAAGAAGTACAGCCAGCGTGCCCCTTGGAAGCAAGGATGGTAAGACTTTCTCTCACATACTTTGGACATGTTTTCAGGAGGGACATCATGTTTGGTAAAGTAGAGGGTCAGCAAAAAGAGGAAGACCCTCAATGAGATGGATTGACACAGTGGCTGCAACAATGGGCTCAAGCATAACGATTGCGAGGATGGTGCAGGACCAGGCAGTGTTTTGTTCTGTTGTACATAGGGTCGCTATGAGTTGGGAGCCCACTCAATGGCACCTAACAACAACGAATTCCTCAACTAAAGCTCTTATGATGAAGAATTGGAATGGTTGTGAAGATACAAAACTGATGGCTTGGGAAACTCACAGGGTGAAGGCAGACGGTCTAGAACAGCACTTCCCAGCTTCTCTCACATCACGGCACACAGAAAGTGAGGATACTTGTATGGCCCAACAGAGTAAAGAGAAAAGATTGCTCAGGGGGCACTTCTGGTTGCCCTAAGGGCCACCTCCAAGAGCTGGGGGGGTGTCAGTCCCTAAGCACACCTGTAACCCATCTGCAGTGCACCAGCAGCCACAGGGTGGGAATCTTTAGACTCCAGAGAAAGGAAGCTTTGGGTTAAATTAATATTTTATAAATGACAACAAATGGCGCCCCTACTTTTACTGAGTTACAGAAGGAAGGATGACGTTTACAGACCAGGAAGTTTTCCGACACTCAGCCCTGCCCAGCGTTGAACAATGAACTAAATGCATCCTGCTGCTTGCGACTCCCAACACCTGCTGAGGCTAATCTCCTCAGCATGGCTGTACATTCCACAGATCACGTTCTCCCTTTTTTTCCCCTGTATTTCACAACTGTCTTTAATACACAATTTTGTTAAGTGACTGGCTATTTCCTTGGTATACTACTACCTTAGTTCTTACCACGTAACCTGAAAATTACCCACTGCACTATAAACTCCATGACAGCAAAGGCCATGTTTCATTCATCATTGTCCCCTGGGTATTAGCACCGTCTTGGCACATAGTAAACAGGTGCTCAGTAAGACTAGGCTGAATTGAACTGAACTGGCTGGAGATGTTGTACTGGACTGCCTTCAAACAGAAGGAAACAAATACAGAAAAGACGGGCAAGAGTTACAGGGACTAGGGCTCAGCGAGATGGACTGGGACTCGGGCTCAGCGAGATG